AAAAAAAAAAAAAAAACCTAAAAAAAATCCAAGGACTCCTAGAATTATGAAAATAAAAAACTTAATTTAAAATAAAGAAACTAGAAATTTTAAAATTAGAACCCTAAATAATTGACAAAAAAAGAACTAAGAATTTGAATCTTTGCTTTGTACATTTTCCATCAGGCAGTTTTACACAGGTTTTTGTGTTATATATTTGGCCCTTCAATTAATCAATACAATTATCAATATTTTTCATTTGCTCAACAATATTCAAAACAATTTCAAGGTTTTGGTAATGCTAAGTATAACAATACGTTCCAAATGATCCATATTTCATAAAACCTCATTTATCTACAATTTCTCTACTTCACATGGAACTAGCATGTCCTTAATAAGGATTTCACTAATGGCATTGCACTTGATCATGAGCATGCTTGCACTTTGATACTGAGCATGTAGCGGTTATCAATACAGATGGTCCAGTGTTTACTCCGACATCCATTGATCTATTTATTGGAACAAAATAACCGAGGATTTTGACAAAGCAACACCTCATCCAAATAAAGGATGACACTCACTCAGTGCAACATATGTTTACAAAAGAGGAAAGGTAAAGGGAAATCAAGTGGTATGTTATCTCTTAGCATTGTGAGGGCATTCACTACATGGCAGTCTATCAGAAAAAACTACAATAATCAACAAGCTTATACAGTACACGCATAGAAAAATCGCCCAAAAAGCATGACCCCCAAAGAAAAATCAGAAGGCTGATTTGCGGCACCTAATGCTGATGCACACGAAGTTCATTCAAGAGACACTATCACAAATAGCACACTTAAAACAGAGCAATGCATTTCACTACGATCGTGCACGCACGGCCACTACAAAGAGCTGAAATCTAGAATATACATAACTCAAGAAACTTAGAGCCACGGAATTGAAAAGATAAATGTACCTGGGATAAGGAAACATGTCGAGAACGTAGAATTTGGGCTTGGAGGTATCAATCTCATCGGGGGTCCGAAACGTCTTGTTCTCCTCCCAATATCGCTGCCACTTAGGCTCTATTTCATGAAAGGGATAAGCTCTCCTTACGTCATCCTCTTCACTTGAACTGGATTCTTCACATTCTTCGCTGTAATTTTTTCTCTTGTCATCGACACTGACCTTCACGCTGCTACGTACCCGGAAGCGGGTAGACGAAGCGGAGGCACAGCGGCGCTGAGAGAGGAAGAGGCGGCGGCGAATAGGAGGCGGCGGCAGACATGGCGGTGGCAGTATTCCGAGGCCCGGGGCGGGTTGAATTCGTGCGAACATTTGGTGGTCAGTGAGGGGAATTTGTGTCCGATGTTAGACCGTTGGTTGGAGGGTTAAGAGGGGGAGTAGATGATAAATGGATAAGGTGTTAGTTGGGTTGGGCCTTTAGGTCGATTATTGGGTTAGGATTAGGAAGAAAAAAAA